TTTGTGAGAACTTGCTTGTAACTGCTTGCAACAAAACAATGCTTACAACAAACGGTTCATGCTTGTAACTTTGGTTATCAAAAGTTAGCTTCTAATTTACCTAACTTTTATTTTCATACATGTTTCATGCTTGTAAAAATTGAGATTAGGTGTTAGATATGTAACTGCATAAGAATTGAGTGGTTTGTATAATAAGTTTTCCTAACTTTTAGTTGCCACCCATAACCAAATATGCAGGATTTGTTTGTGCTCAGGCACATCGTCAGGAGCTCATTCAGGATTTGTTTAAAATTGAACAGGATCCACGGCGTGGAGTTGTTTGTGCTCTTCCATTTGACTCCTCTGTCATTTATTTCTTATTGACATACATAATACATTTTCAGGGAGCTTCTAATTTCTTTTAAAGGGGCAATAGGAGACAACCCAAAGCAACGAATACCAAGCTTCTTATACCTTGATGCAATACGCAAGGTATATGTTTTAATTATTTTTTTGGATAATTTACATATATATATATATATATAACTCACTTATATATTTATATATCCAACACCTAAATTACATTTTTTGCATACATATCATCTTACCTATGCATGAAAAGTTGCTTTTCACTTTTAGAAAGTTAAAAATGGTGGTATTTTTTTTTTAAATATGAAGTTTAGGTGCTAGATATGTAATTACATCGGGATAAGATGTATGTATGTAATTGTCCGTAATTTTTTTAGCTTTTTTTTGGGTTCTTTCTCTGCAATGTATCGTATCTATCAAATTCCCTTTATTTAAATTTCCTGTTATTGAATTTTTCTGTTCACTTGTGTTTTCCACTGATAATATTACAGGTGTGTGCTTCTTTGGAGGCTGATTATCAACCTCTTCTCACTTTTGTGTTTGTTCAAAAGCGTCACCACACCCGATTGTTCGCAAACAACCATAATGATCAGCATTCAGTTGATAAAAGTGGAAACATGCTTAACTCATTCTTCTGAAATGAGCAGACTGAAGGATTAAGGATGAAAGAATGTTGGGATTTCTAGAGTGAATTTTAGAGCATTTATGAAAACTAATTGAAATGTAAAACCATCTTTAATCCTTACATCTCTAAACAATATTTATTTTCTTGTTGTTTTTCAGTTCTTTATATAATATATATTTTGTTGTTTTAGAACATTTCAGTTCTTTATAAAATTGTTACATACATGATCTATATTGGAAAACAGTTTATTTAAAATATAAATTTTTTGTGTTAGACATGTAAAATTGCAAATACATAAGAATTAAGTGGTATGAGTAAAAATTTAGAGAATTTCGAACATTTCGAACATTCGAACATTTCGAACATTACGAACTCGAACGATTCGAACAATTCGAACAATTCGAACAAATCGAACAATTCGAACAATTCGAACAAAAACGACCCGAACACGAACAGACTTTCACGAACAATTTCGAACACGAGCCTATTTCAAACAAACTATATTTCAAACGAACCGAACACGAACATGAGCACTGTTCGTTCGTGTTCGGTTCGTTTACACCTTTAGCTGCAGCTTCTCCTCAAGGCCTCAGACTCTCCCTAGTCTTCTTTCCCCCTCATGAGAGGGATGGGGCTCTATTTATAGTGTTTTAGGTGCAATTAATGCAATAATATGAACCATTTTGATCGGACGGTTCGGAGAGCTTCCCTCCATCATACGACGTTTAATGGAAATTTGAGTGCCTTAATGATGTCAGAATTGAGTGATCTTGGGCTCGTTGGATTCGTCTTATCGAGCCGCTTGATTTGAGTATAAACTTGTCATATTTGACAGTCGTTTGATTTTTCAAATGTATTCATAAATTTTCTAACTGTGGTTTAATGACTTGATCTGGGCTTGATTTGACTTGAATTGAGCTAGTTTTCATATCATTAGATCTGTCTCATTGAACATGTCAGTTTGACTATAAATTTGCTGAAATTGGAGATATGGATGATATCAAGATTTGAATGTTTATTGCTTAAAATATCATCTCAAGATTCGTGTCATGTCTCGAGATTCGTGTTGGATGATGAAAATTTGTTGGTGGTGTATCAGTTGCCCCCTATTTTTGGGCGAGACCATTTTTATCGTCCGAAAATATCAATATCTGAAGTATTTATGTATAAGAATTTGTAAGAATTTGTATATCTTACTTAGTTAAGAAAAATTTTTATTCCTATATAAATAGAAAGCTGAACTAAGCTTAGTTGGTTAGTATCTTTTGCTTTATGGGGGAGAGGGGGGGTTCGAATCCCGCCTAAAACAGAATAAATAATATTTTATAAAAAAATGTGAAAAGATTAAGAAATTTGAAAGGGCAAAAGAGAAGGAATAAAAATAGAAAAGATATTTTTTTTTGGGAATATGAAAATTTTTTTTTATTATTATTTATGAGCATTTAATACTTGTACTTCTTTTTAAATTTCTATATTAATGTGCATTTATTGGCCAAAACTATTTTTGAGCCTATAAATAGGGGCCTGAAAGAGAGGGTGGAGGTGTGGCGGTGCGGCGGGGCAACCCCGGGGCAGCCCGTTGTGGCGCCGCTGTTGGGCAACCATTTGCGGCAGTGTGACGCGGCGGAGCGGCGTGGCAACCCGTTGCGACGGTGCGACACTGCAGGGCAGCACGACGCAGCGGTGTGTTGCGGCGACGCGATACTACGGGGCAACGTGTTGCAGTGACGTGCTGCGATGGGGCGACGCGTTGTAGCTTCGTGTTGCGTCGCAGCGAAGCGTTGCAGCGACGTGTTGCGATTGATGACACGTGGCAACGACGTGTTGTGCTTCGGTGATGCATTGCGACGATATGTCGCAACGTGGCGATGCATTGCGACGATATGTCGCAACGTGGCGATGCATTGCGGCAGTGCGTCACGGCGACACGAGACTGCCTGACGACGCGTTGCAGTAGTGCGTTGTGATGATGTGACGCGTTACGGCGATGCGTCCCAGCGTGATGATGCGTTGGGGCGACTAGTTGCAGCGCAACGACGTGTTGTGGCAGTGTGTCGCAGCGGCGTGCTCAGTGAAGTATCGCAGTGGCTTGATGCGTTGGATGTCCAATGTTATGTAAGAAGGTTACCATGGGAATAAATTGCCAGCGACCTTTTACTTGGCTAAGGTTATGCATCAGAGTATTACTCAGTGATGTTTAACATGTATGGGAGGATCCCACGAAAGTCCACCGAGGACTTATTAACCCATTCAAGGTTGTTTGCAGAAAGATTGTTTGTTGGGGCATTGCTCACTTATGAATCTGTGTGGAAGGGATCAGATGTAGCCCACCAAGAACTATTAACCTATCCAGGGTTATTTATCGAAGTAAAAACTCGGAGATGTTAACCCATTTGGAAGAGGTTAGATCAAATTCCCCTGGGATCGGTCGTGCTCTGACTAAGATACAACCAGAGTTGTGTATTTCTTGGGCCAAAAACATAAAATGACTCGTGAATGAGCCGTTACACTTTCTAAAGATATACATTTTTTTTTTGTAGATTAAAACAAGTAAATACTATTTAATAAGTCTGAGATACATTGACATTGTATGCAATATGACATAGATGATATAACTGAAGTGCTACTGGTAGTATTTCCAAAAATTCTCGGCATTTTAAGTTCGGGGCAAGATTTTTTCATCTGTGTCTTTGAGCTTGAAAGTTTCAGGCTTGATCATGGCAACCACGATGTATGAGCCTTCCCAGAGAGGGGATAATTTGTTGCGTTGGGGACCATGACCAGCGGCTTCGATACTACGTAAAACCAAGTCACCAATGGAGATAGGTCGAGGCTTTACTCTTCGGTTGAAGTGACCAGCAATTCTTTGGCGGTAGGACGCAGCTCTGAGTTGGGCCACATCGCGTATTTCTGGGAGAATATCCAACTGTTGTCGGAGCTTTTCTTCATTGCTATCCGAGTCGAAAGTCTTGCTCGGGGGTTTGGAACTCCGATATCAACGGGGATGATAGCCTCGGTGCCAAAACACAAGTTATATGGAGTTTCCCCAGTACATAACACTAATTTCGTTAATATCACATCAAATTTAGCGCTATTACCACTTTTTAAAAATGAAATACACTTTTTTCATGCATGATTATAAAGCATCAAAGTGCTATGTATGTAAATATGAAAGTATGTCACATCAAATTTAGCGCTATTACCACTTTTTAAAAATGAAATACACTTTTTTCATGCATGATTATAAAGCATCAAAGTGCTATGTATGTAAATATGAAAGTATGGGTGCGAGATATGTAAATACATAAGAATTGTGTGGTATTTATGTAAATTTCCCTGATTTTTTTTACCACTCGAACAAATAATCATAATCGAAAAAACCTTTAAATTGAAAGAGTGATTTCATAAATCAAACCGAATCAACCAAATATGCTCGGTTGGTTTAGTTTTTGTGTGTAAACTAAATAGTGCTACCCCTACAAAGAAGTAACATTTGCATTTTTTACTAATAATAATAAGCACAAACAAATTTTTAAAATCATTGATAGATGGCATTTTCAACTCCGTCGGCTTTTGTAGGTGGTTGCCAATTTCCTAAAATCTCAATAGTTTTGGTATGCCTAATATTGCAAAGGATAGGTAGATGAAGGTTTGTAAGTGTGCAAATGAATATTTGTTAAGATGTTAAGAATGAGTTGAATGTGCACATTAAATTTGTAAGATAAATGACTAATTTGGCATCAGCTAATATAGTTTCTAAAAATAATTTATAATTAGTATAAAAAATATTTTGAAATTTAAATAATAATGAATTATATGTCCCCAAGCTTATTTGTGGCTAGCATGTGGTCAAGTAGCTTTATATTTGCTGTTTTTACCATCAAATTGCATACCTTTAACTTAAACTTTATCAAGATGTAAAGGTAATTCAAGGTTTTTTTTTTTATAATTGAGTAATTTTAATAATTTTTTGTAGCAACTTGATATAGCAAAAGAAGACGATGGATTATAGTCTCTTAAAGATGGGAAGATTTACATACATATTACTAAATTCTTATATATTTACATAACTAATACCTACACTTCAATTTTTACGTATATGCCACCTTACCCGTGCATCAAAATGTATTATTCACTTTGTAAAAGTTAAAGTTGAGGTATTTGTTATGTGATTCAAAAGAATTGGGTGGTATAATGTAAAAACTATAGTTTAGGTGTTAGATATGTAAATACATAGGAATGGGTGTTATGTATGTAAATGCCCCTTAAAGATTCGATGTGAAGTATATTAGGGTCTTGATTGGAAGATACAACTATCCTGATATTGTTAATTTTATTTATTTTAATAATCTTGATGCTAATGAGTGGTTAGTAGGAAAAGTAGATAATGTGTCGAATGAGGATTATGAATTAGTTATTGAAGAGGAAGATTTGATAGAGCATCATTATGACTTGTAGTGATGTTTTTGGAAGGAAATATAATATTTGAGATAATTTT